AATGGTGGGCAATAATAGGGTGGCGCATAATGTGTGGGGGGGGGGGTAGTGGCAGTACGCGAATCTTCTTCGCGGAAAGGCTCTGTCGTTTGCGCATGAACCTAGCCACGAGCTCCGGCCGCATCACATTCGTCACGCTCGTCACCTGCGCCGCCGCCGCCGCCGCCGCGTCGTGATGAGGTGGCTGCCAGCCAGCCTGGTGGCCACCGTGGGGCGTACGCGTACCTTGATGGTTCCGCCGAGCCCCCACCACGACTTGAACCCGTTGAAGAAGAACTTCTTCACGTCCGAATTGGGCAGGAACTGGACACACGTAAGCAACCACGCAAGGCAAGCCAGCCAGCCAGCCAGCAATCAGTAGGAAGCAAGCAAGGAGGAAGCGCCATCCCATCCGTAGGTATTATTACGACGACGACGACGACGACGACGGTGATGACGATGGCATTGGTGGCGGTGGCGGTGGCGGTGGCTGCTTGTGGTGCGGGTGTGTACCTGGTGGCGGTACATGTTGAGCAGGAGCTCCGCGGCCTGCCTGTCCATCTCCTGCCCCTCGAGATCCGACATCTGCAGCCCCACAGCCCCCCCCCCGCACGCACGACTCGCAGGTTAGGGGGGGAGGGCCGACCTTGGTGGCTGGTGGCTGGTGGCTGGTGGATGGATGGATCTAGGGTGGACGGAAGTGCGGCAAGACTGGTGCGTACGGCAAAGGTGGCGACCACGGCCTCCTCCCGGTCGATCTTGTCCTGCGCCTTGCACGACGTGTAGGGACCTGCAAGCCCAGGCCAAGCCACCGGCCCACCCACCAACCAAAGAACCAACCGCACCACCCATTTGGCACCCGAGAAATGGCGACGGACGTCGCGGCCGAAACGACCACACGGTTGTGAGCATCAACCCCCCCCCACCAGGCAGGTAGAGCGCGGGAATGGATGGCGCCGTACACACGACGGTGGTGGCGAAGCTCTGGCCCATCTGCATGGCCTCGTAGTAGTGCACGCACCTCTCCGCGCAACACACCAGCTGCTCACACCCCCAGCCACCCACCCCCCTCTCTTCAGTTTGCCCAATGCTGACACGATACACGCACGCGCACGCCGCGAGAGAGTGAGAGAGAGTGACGAACGGGAGTCTCGGAGGCGCAGGCGTGCTTGCGGTGGCAGATGAGGCAGTACAACCGATGATCGGCCATCCCCTTCCTGCATTGCATGGAGAACCCCCCCCCCAACCACCAACAACAACAATGTTAGCACGTTGGTTGAATAATTGAGCAGAGGCGTATATGGTGCGTGCCGGAGGTAGGCCAGAAGGCCCACGAAGAAGTTGCCCCCGAGGAATTTGGCGGAGCACTGGCCCATGAACGAGGCCGACGCCGTGTTCCGGCTCTTCTTCTCGGCCAGCCTATCCTTGCCTGGTGCACCACGCGCCCGCCCCGGGCACACGTTGGTGTTGTTGTTGTTGTTGTTGTTTGAGATGGAGAGGGGGTAGCGACGACCGTTGGTTGGTTGGTCGGTTGGTTGGTTGGTTGGCATGTGCCCCCCCCCCCAAGGGAGCGCAAGCGCGGCGGTGGTGGTGGTGGTGGTGGTGGTGGTGGTGGTGGTGTACCGAGTTCGTGCTGCTGGGCGGGCGTTTCGCAGATCTCGCACTTCTGGCGCCCATGCACGTTGAGGTAGGTGCACGCTCCACACACCCACATGTCCTCTGCAAAGCATGGCCACCGCCACCGCCACCGCCGCCGCCACCCGCGGATGCGTGCACGCGCGTGAGTTGAGTTGGTCCCTACCGGCTGGGCGGTGGCGGTCTCGGCGTGGTGTGAGCGCACGCGCGTGCTGGTTAGGTACGTTACCTTCTTCGTGGTCGCCATCGAGCTCCTCGTCGCCCTCCTCTTCCTCGTCGCCCTTGGCCTTGGCCTTGTCTACGGAAGAGGGGAAGGCAGGAGGAAGGCGAAGAAGAAGAAGAAGAAGAAGAAGAAAGAGGAGGCAGGAGTCATGAGAAGAGCAGAAAGAAGAAAACAACTGTGTGGCGGTGGTGCGTGTGCGTGTGCGGTGGTGCGTAAATGAATGTATAAATGATGCATTCGTACTCGTACTACCTACGTCGTCGTCGTTCTTAGAGAACCACGAGCGGATGTGGCGGAAGTGCTTGCGTCGGGTGTTGGCTCCCCACGTCTGTCGTGTAGAACCGAGGTTGGATGGATCAGCAGCGGACCCATCCAATAAAGAGAAATATAGAAAAGATATAATTATATATATATATGTAAAATATGTAATAAATAGGAGAGAATGAATGCGTGCAGTGGGTTTCTTCCCGAGAGAGAGAGAGAGAGAGGGTGGTGGCTGGTGCGAGGTACCTCGCGTAGGTACTTCATGGCGATGGACTTGAAGTAGAAGGAGGCGATGCGGTTGTTGCTGATCTCCTCCCCCTCCCGGTCCCCCTCCCCCTGGCTCTGCTTCACCACGAGGTAGGGCAACGGGAACTTATGACCTGCACATATTCGACATATAATATTATATATATACATACATACATACATCCACATACCCCACGTGATATGTGTGATTATCATAAGTGGACGAATCACCCGGAGGGGGATATTTAGGGGAGGGGGGGTGCTGCACCTCGCTTGACGGCGAGGATGTGCTTCTGGACGTCCGACGCCTTCTCCGCTGCCGGCAGCCGCCCGAAGTCGAGCGACAGGATAACTGGGGCAGCACGTCACC